CCTGCTAATGACACTCCCTAGGGCAGTGGGTGAACTGCAACCTGGAAACAGGCCACAGCTCTTCCACGAAATCTTCTGGCTTCTGCGGAAGAGCGTCCATTTCCTGGAGCCAGTCTGAGACAGACAGTGCTCTGCAGTCAGAAACAGGACTGGAATCCAATGACCCTTATTCCATATGAAGTGCTACGAAACTCACAGCAAATCAATTCTTTCTTAGCTGTTTACATGCTGAGTTTCTGCCTGACCCCGATCAGTGCCACACCGTGGATCAATAAGACAGAAGTGTTTTCCAAACACAATGAACAGCTTTGCACATTTGTAGCTTGAATGTTCTTGTGAATGCTTTTTTCCTGAAATTTGCATCTGGGTTGGGTACACTCCTCCCAACCTTAGGAGGGGTCACCTAATTCTCTCTTAGACTTGTCTCCTAACACAGTACCCTGAAGGCAAGTCAAGCTTAAGTTTTTAACTCAGACCAAAGGGTTGATGTGTTTCCTATTAGGTTTTAAGTCAAAGTGCCAACATTTTCTTCTATAGGCCAGATATCACCAGTCACAATCAACCTACATTAATTACTTCTGTTTTGAATAACAGTACTTTCCCCAAATTACACACACTCCAAAAGTTTAGACCTGTGCTTAAATGTTATGTCATACCTCGTCACAAAAGAGATTCAATAACCCTGGGATAATGCTGTATTCAAGCAAAAGGATAATCGTGACCAGAGGTGCCATGGGTTAACTAGAGGAACGGACATCAGGATTCCCAGGCTCCAGGTTAATTCTACCAGCTATTTTTTTAACATCTGTGGATAACTGTCTTGTATCTCAGTTTGCTCTGCTGTAAAATGGATTTACAAACAGAAGAGATCTGTGAAATATTGTTGGCTAATGAATTCCTTTTCCTGTAAACTTACAGCTGTTCCTTTTTGCTGATATACCACTGTAGTTCTGTGCAATTTAAATCATTCTGTATAGGGTAGCAGGAAGCAGCTTCACTTAAGAGAATATTTCAGTCTAAATCACAGGGAAATAAAGAATAGATTGCTCCTAATATGACCATTTCTAGCTTTTCCACAGTTTAAACTGTTCTTCCTGCAGTGGAAAGTGAGCGGACGTGCTATTGAACAACAGGACTGCAAAGCTTCTGCTCTTCTTTCAGAGCCTAGCATCTTTGGAAACAGCAAGTGGAAGCAATCACATAGGCAACATCTGCTAGCATCAGAATTTTGGTGGTGGTTACGTTTGCTGAGATCTTAGACTGAAATCTTGCCATCACTCCACAGATAAAATAGCATTAGCAATAACTGCATTCCAAGCCAGTTGATGTCAGCTGGGGTCTGTTATTGTTGCTTTCAGCACAGAAGAGTTGGCAGACTGGTAGGTAGGCGACCAGACATTTATTCCAGCCCTCGTCCTGAATTAGGCATTTACCAAATAAAGAAGGCTAGCTCTTAAATCTGGCTGGGCAACACAGAAAAAAACCCAAAACAAACCACCCAACTAACAAACCAAGAACCAGGAGCAATAACAATTTTCCTCTCCCTTTTTGCTTCTACCACTTTTTTAAGCTAAAGACACAGCCTAATGGGTGACTGTGATCCTAACCTCAGAAATAGTTTGCATTTTCTTAGAATAAGGAGTGACTCACTCCAGTCACTTACTCATAATCACTGTAGATTGTTGCTTGTGGAAATAGGTGCTGCCAAGAACAGGGCTCAATGGTGGATAGGTTGAACACATTTTTCTTGGATAAAAACAAAGTGTTGGTCCCCAGAAAGTTAATTATTAAGCCACTGAGCTGTCAGGCATCTAGAGAAGAGTTTGCAGCGTTCTATTATTAACTCAATATATTAGATAATTCTGAAAGTAGTACTTCAGTAAAAAAAGTAGAAATAACACTATTCAACAAGCGTTCTGCATTCTCATCCCCTTTACAGAGATAGAAAAGTCAAATTAACTACATATATGCTAAAAAGCAATTAAAGCAAGTTGTGCTTTAAAGTGATAGTACCCTGACATACCACTTTTAAAAGATTATACCTTATATTCAGTATTTAATCTAATTAAATACTCGGGAATTAGCACAGAAATGTTTTCTGTAATTCCAAGAGGCGCCCCGATGGATTTTCTCACAGTATTTTCTTAATAGGAAAATAAAGTACATCATACCTGAGTGGTCCAGGCTGGATGAAACTCCACATCAACCTCTTAGAAGCAAACCAGACTGTGAGGCTGCCTGTAGCACCCTCTACAGGAAGATGAAATATTTTACAGAGTTAGAAAACTGAAGATTACTCAAGAATTCCAAATTATGTTTCACAAGTCATTGTGTCGTTACCCTTATAAACCCACAAACAAAGTATGTGGAAGCAATGATTTAACTTATTAAAGCTGGCTTAGCATAACTGCTTTTATGTAGGTTAATTCTTTCAGTTCCCTATAGACAGTTACACAGAAAATCATGGTTTTCTAACTGATGCTTTTAGGTCAAAGTTGGAGGTTTGACAACAAAGCAAAGGACACATGAGGCTTCACTGCAGATACATAAAAGCCCTATTTGGTTGGTTTTTCACCCCAGAACATTAAAGGCTTCAGCATTACAAGGCAGATGGTTCTTTCCGCTTTGCATGTGTACTACTAAGATAATACCAGAATCTGGTCCCAAGGGTGTTGCAGTGTCTGTGGTGTTAGACTTGTGTTCTGCTCCTCAGTCTGGCACTGTCTACAGCTTCTTCTGCAGGTGCTGGGTGCCACCTGCAGTCTCTCCCGTTAATACAGAAGGCAGGCAGGGCTGGGAACATGCCGCAACCACAGTTCAGTCTTACCCTTCATTTGGCAGCACAGGCACAGAGGCAGAAGGTTAGCAACACTGACATCCACTTCTCAGGCAGAAGATGCAATAGGGTTACAATAGCCATTGGTCTGATTAGAGGCTTTAAAAACTCTACAGTAAAGCTTATTACTTGCTGCAGCTTTCTTCTGAGGTAAAGAAAAAGCAGTTAAAGTAACAGTCAAAAGTATAAAGTCATCACTAGTCAGCTCAGGATAGTGTGATTTTTGCAAGACAATATCTTTTGTGACATGTAAAAACTGCAACCCTGTTGATACACCAGTGACAGCAATATAAGTGTCTCACAATCATGTTCTGAGCTGGATGAAAAAACTCAAATGGCTTAAATAGCCCAGCAGAAGTATTTTTATGTAGGTGAGTTCACAAGTGATTGCTCTGCAGGAAACATTATTGCTGCTAACCATAAGAAGAGACATGAATATATATGCAGACAAGTTATCTGCTACCTTTTGAACATTATCACTATCCAGCAATACCTAAGATCCAAGCTAGTAGCTTGCACAGGGAAGTCATGTGGGTGCATATGTAGATCACCAGCTTCCAGTTAGGGAGGGTACCATTTTTGTAAGCAAGTGTGAAATAGGTAGCAGTAGACTTGCACCACAATAATGGAAGTGAGAGTGACATCTTCCAACACTAGCAATAACTCATTTAAAGAAGTCTTCATTAGCAGTATATGAGAATCATAATCTAGGCTTAGAAAGAATGTCCTTTTAAGATGAAGTATTCTTAATGAAGAAATTAAAGAGTTACACCCAATCCACTTACATATGCATATAAACTTTAAAATAGACTTGAAAGCACAGAAGCAGACTAGTGCCAATTATTTTATCAGGTTCACTTAAAGTACAAGGGTTTTATTCATTTTGTATTTCTTTGGGTTTTTATCCCCCCCCCCCCCAAAAAAAAAAAGGGCAGAAACAGCCTATGGGAACTCTGGGGGAATTGCATACCCCTTAGGTTCCCCACCCCCACCTTTTATTAATAATTGAAGTGCCATGCTATGTTTCAGATGTAAGTCATGCTTATGAAAACCCTAGCTATGAAAAACTGACATCTCCTGCACCATCATAAGAGCTGCAGAAGCTCAGAGAGCTGAGTCAATATAGTTAGGGAGTCCTAGGTTGTTCCAGTTAATGAAATCAATCAAGTTTTTCCAGAAAGCTGGAAAACTGGACTACAGTTCTTCCTCTCCACCCCCTACCCTCCCCCCCCACCTAAATCCTCACCCTACACAACCACATTTAGAGACAGAGTAGGTTACTGTAAGGATTTTAGAAGTAAAGGGACAATCAATTGATTCCAAGATGAGGCCTTCATTTTTGCTCTCTAAAGCAGACAATTGCTCCAAAGCATTTCCTATGCTAAGGCTACCTGAACATACTTACAATTGGTTAACTTACCCCTCCTCCACACTATTCCTTGCAGTTAAGTACTGCTACTACAGTCTTCAAATATTTCTCCATAAGGCAGAAGATAGTTTAGCTGAGTTAGGAACAGAGTAGAACAAATCAGATTTCTGTAAGAGATGTCTAGAGACAAGCAGCAATTCATTTGTTCTGCACTAACAGAAGGCAGCTACATGCAGAAGTCAGAGCTTGGTGTGACTAAGCTGTTTTACAACCACCATCTTCATCATTGATTCTCTCATTGTTAGACCTGCATTCTTGCCATTACACATTTTTGATTGAATATACTTATCAGTCACCTTAAGAGAACAACTAACACAGTTCAGTGATGTATTGATATCACTTTATTGAACATCAAATAAAAATCCTCTTTGGAAGCCTACTCAGTGTACTGATTACAGCAATAGGTTATGTAGAATGTAATAGGTTATGAAGAGGCTTGCAAACTAGTGGCTCATGCTTTGTGAGAAGCCGGTATTGCCCGCTTACATCCTTATCCCTGACAGGGACAGTAAGAGCCAGAAAGAGAACAAGTATTTACAAGTATGTCAAAGAATGAAGTTTACAGTTAGAAATTCACATATGTACAGTTGTGAACTGTTCAAGTATGTTTCAGTTAGACAAAGTGCTACAGGTCACATAAAAACCACAGTAAAAACAAGAGGAACTATTAAGACAAAGAGGTGGCAGTCATTTGTGTGCCAAATGACTTGTAGGTGGTTGCAATATGCGCAAGATCTAGAAGTTGAAAGTATCTGGAGTATTGCCCTGAATTTGGAAAGTGTAGCTGGCAGCAGTAGATTCTGGTACAACATTTTGGTCTTCCTCCTCCTAGAAGAAAAAGAAAAGAGTTTTGAAAGAGCAGTAGCATTTTAACCTAGTAGTCAGTACTAGAATAGAAGATAAGTGGGGGAAAAAAATATGTTATCCTGCAGCCACTTACTTCTGCTGAGAAATATTTCTCAATCAGGGTGGACGAGGCTTTGTACACTTGTTCATTTTCATGCGACTGGAGAGCTTCAATTTTGTCTAGACCCCCACACTCCTCAATCATGAGGCAAAGTTTTTCAGTCTCATTAATCTTCTCAGCAGCCTGCAACAGATAAGCATGGAATAACCTCAGGAAAGAGATCCGGCACCAACTGCTGGAGAACCATTAGCAACAACATGGACAATGATTGAATATACTGCATCCACATACCAAGAAGATATTAGAAATAGCATCCAGGATAACTAGCACAGTTTTGCTGTCTTTAGCTGAGAGGAGATTCAGTAGGGGTTCAACAACACCAGCCTGAACAAGATACACGATCTGGTCAATTGTTCCACCACTTGTGTAGTTAGTCACAGCCCACACAGCTTCTTTTTGAGATTTGAAATCCCCCTGTGAAGGTAAAAGCAGGGTATTTGAACACAGATAGTAGTAGTAACAGCAAAAGCCTCAACATAGTAAATAGTTTTTCTTTACCTTCCTCAGAATACCAATGAGATAAGGCACAAGACCATGGTCTACAACTCGCTGAATCTGGTCCTGACGCCCAGCAGTGATGTTGGACATAGTCCATGCTGCTTCTTTCTGAATGTTGTTCTTGTGATGAGAAAGGAGACTTGGAAAAACAGATAGTGCTCCCGAGTCAATAACAATCTGTGTCTGTTCATCAGTACCAGTGACAATGTTTCCTATGGCTCTTAATGAAGGAGTCTGAAACAAATATGAAAATAGTACTTAGGAAAACTGCTATCATCTAATCTGTGTTTGAACGAGTACAGCCATATTTGATGTCCCTCCACTCTAGTCTTCCCAGTCAACAGCATGATATGCTATGTACTGGTGAGTTTTAAGCTCCTCATTAGCATTACATTTGCAGACATTAAGCATGCTAAGACTGCACGCTTTCCAAGGCCAATTTGCAAACAACTACCCATGACAGAGCTTAGGAAAACCATTTAAGTACCAATGCAGTTTTATTGTACTATAACTATAGCATGCACAGAGCCCGCTTCTAAACACTGTCCCTGGAATTTGGATTTGCAACAGTAGTTTAGAGTTAAAAACAAGCTTTAAAGGATGTTGACTGTTGTGCTGGCCTGTGTGTTAAATCCAATGATTAAGTAAAGAAGCTCGATAGTCATCGACAGCAATAGTCTATGTCTCACATGGGGCAGTCTCCAGGCAAGATAGAAGCTCAAGTCTTACCCACACAAGACCTAGAACAAGCATCCAATTTAGGTATGAAAAGAACCATTCAGTTAAATGGACCCTATTCTAACTGCAGTTTTATTCACAACTTAAAATCAAGCAATAGTAATCTGCATGCCTGATAGCTTACCATTATTGGCAGTTCACTACATCCCAAGAGTTTCACAAGTTGTGGCACCAATCCAGTTTTCACTACAACTTCTATCCTGTCATTGGAACCATCTGTTAAGTAGGAAAGTGCCCAGCATGTGTCTGCTAACACCTCATGATCATCATGGTGCAAGAGGCGAACAAGAGTTGGAAGAATCTGCTCAATAGCTTCTATGGGTGGTGCAGGATTCTTATTACGACACAGGTTTGACAGGGTCCAAGTAACATTGCGTAAATATCCAGACTGCAAGAGTTGAAATAAGTGATTAGCATACTTGAGCTCTTTTACTCACTTATTAGCAATTGTAACTTGAATCATACTGCACACTTACAGCCAGGGAAGAGAGATCAGGAACAGCTAGTAGACTCAGCAGTGGCTCAATTGCACCAAATTTAATAACAAGATCTCTATAGGCAGAGCCATCCCCTGAGAAAACAAGAAAAATAGCCAGCTGAAGACCAGAATAGAGGGACATGTGCATGCAGAATCATTATGTGTTAGAGGATGAATTCTTCTACTGCTTAATAAGGGCTAGATAAAATAAGAAGAAAAAACAGGACAAAAGAACTACTGCCATGGTTAAGTCATATGACAAGCATGTGTTTTTCTAATTAAACCACTGAGCTTAATTTTTTTTTCTGTTGGAAAAAAAAGAGGTAATTTAGCATATGTTTTCTATACAGCTTGTCTTAGAGTTCATAACTAAGCAGGGACTTGCATGTTTCTTTGAAAACCTATCTAAGCCCTACCACTAGAACAGAGCTCTTCCCATAATATGGAACTTCAAATGCATTATAATCATTGGTTGCATGACTGAGTTTTATAGTATAATGCTGATGGAATGTCAAAGTTTGAATTCTTCTACTACAAAGTACAAAAATACCTTATAACTGAGTTTAAAAAACTCTAAGGACAAACTTTAAGAAAACTCCAATCAAACAAGGCTTTTATTGAGCTCAATATTTTGAATATTCACTGTTCTCTAAGGCAGAGCTGTTGGAAACAATACAGCAAATTAAATATTTAACTATATTATTAATTTTGACCAGGTTTGTTTTTTGTGTTTTTTTTTTAAGAATGGGATCCAACACTGGCAGATCATGTAATCCTGAAAGGTGCATGAGAAACTTCAGTACATTGTACTTTCACATCAGCAAGTAGCTGCTTCAAAGCAAGGATTATTGGCCATCACATACACAATTATGTGAGCCATCTGCTTCCTCCCTTCCCCCTTCTAGTCAACACACAGAGCAGAGCTCACTGATAAGTCACAAAGACATCAAGTGAGATATGTTAAAAAGCCCTATGTTGTAGCATGGTTATGTAGCTCTGTCAAAATTGAACTGAAATATGGAAGCAATCCACATAATCCAACCCACAGGTTGCCAGGGATTGCATAAGACATCTTATACCAGGTCTGAAGATACAGAATTGTCTGTAACATACTCTACATCGCAGAGCATGTCTTTACTTGAAAACCATTAAGGCAGAACTCCCAAGAAGCTCAGCATGCTGCATGACATGTAAGTAGTAATGTCCTCCTATCTTAAATAAGGTCTGAAATAGAGTTGTCTAGCATAGTGACATACCTGCAATATTTCCTAATGCCCACACAGCCTGTTCACTAATGTGAGTATGGGGGGAGGCCAATAGTGAAATAAAGGCTGGAATAGCCCCTCCATCTACTACTGCCTTTGTTTGTTCCGACGTGCCAGAAGCAATGTTGGTAAGCGCCCAGGCAGATTCAAACTGAATAGGACTACAGTCTGCTCTACCCAAGAAGGAGACAAACTTTGGAATCAAACCAGCCCGAATTATGTTGTCTATTGGGGGCTGCTTCTCTCTTGAGAGGAGTTTCCTAAGGAGGAAGACAAACAGAAAGCATTATTTTTGCTTGCAGAGATCTGAACAACAGATTAAATAGTCTAAAAAATCCATATTTAAAAAAAGAAAAGGTTTAGCATTGCCTTAACATTTAGAGAAGGCAATGCAACACAAAGGAGAAATACAGACAAGCTACAGACAAGCTGAATGCTAGCTTCCTTAACCTCTGTTAATATTGGTTTTGGCATGTCTTCACTACATGAGAGGTTCTGTTCAGACTCTGAAATAAAGCAGACATGCAAGAGTCATAATACATCTGACTTGCTAGAGGTTTCTCAGCAGAGAGAGGTTAATGACTGCCAGAAGCAGCACTGCAGCAATATACAAGCTTGCAAAAAAGAGATTTTAGATTTGGAAAGAGAAACAAAACTTGGCATACTTCAAACCCCAGTCATCTACTGTTCACATTATTCTAAGGTAGATCACTGCACTCAAATATTGCAGTCAGTTATTAACAGTTTAAAAGATATTATTTTGCTATAACAAAGGGTTTACTATTATTACTCCTACAACTCTAAGATGGACTACTGTTTATTTTGCCACCTCAAAACCACTAGAAAGAATTACTACTTCCTAGTAAAATGTTCAGGCACTTCAAATATTCAAAAGCCACATGGTTTCAATAAAATTATGACTAAGTTAAGTGTACCTAAACATTGTATATAAGGTTGACTCAGGTGCTTGTTGAAATACTGTCTGATAAGAGCCACAGCTGCTGCCATAAGCAGACACTTAGGCTTATAAGCCAGTTCTTTTACCTTGTCTAGTTACTGGCTTGCACAGCCAAATTGGTTACCTCTAAACTCCTTACCTGGCAGCTTGAGTAGCCTGTAGCTGAAGCTCCATATTATTACTATTAACTCCTCTGACTATTTCTTCAACTGACCAGTGTGCTGAAACCTGTACAATAAAAAGTTACATGAATGCTTTGTTGAGAGAGGCATGTGTCATCATGACCACAGAGGCCTTCTATACAATACTATGAATAGACCCCAGTTTACAACCACTTCCTTTATTAAAGGATTGTACCACTACGTGATACTCCAAAACCTCATCAGCTGCAGCTTTGTCTACAGTTATCTGAACTACTGAAAGCTTTTTTTAATCAAGTGCTTCACACCACTCTTATACTAGGCTTAAACACAACTGGCTAAACTACATTTTGAGTGTTGTCCATTGGAGTTGGTAGTACAGACTTAAGATGGTAATGCATATGTAGTAGTGCTGTCCCCCACATGAGAAGGGATTCCTACTAGAGTGGCTGCATAAGCTTATATTGCAAGACCTCCGAGCATGCCTGTTCAAAGTACCTACTTACCTGATTGCTCCTATTTTCCTGAAGGGGAGAAGTGGCATCATCTGGTAAAGTGCTAACATTTCTTCTTTTAAGCATCTGGTCATCTTTCTTAGCTTTCCTCAGCTCTACATTGACTTCAATACGCCGCCTTCTCATTTCCTGGAGGACATACATTCATAGTAAATTCTTGGCTTTTACAACTCATGTTTAAAGAGATGATGGCTAGCTAAAGTACTAATTGCATCAAAATACTCACTGTAGTATCCTTTCCTTTGTTCTTGAATCTGTTTAGTCGAGCTGCTGCTGTATTGGCATTCTCATTAGTAGACATCTTGCTTATTAGATTTTTGAGAGAAACAGATAAAAACAAGCCTGAAAACAGAGCAAATGAACAGCAAGTTTACTCCACAAGACTTAAATTTAAAAACTGGGATCAATACTTGAGAATGAGAGACATTTGTCCATAGTGGATACAACAATGGCCTCTGACTTGATCAGAAATACTAGTATCTTAACAGCTGCCTCTTTAAACACCTAGATGTCACAGTAAGTTCTAGCACTAACACAAAAGCAGTAGACACACATACATTGTTTTAAGGCACTTCCAGCCACAAACATTATCAGAGTCATTGTTTTTAGGAGCAAGATTGGTTTTACTTCCTATAGGCAGCGCACACACTTTTAAACACTATCTTCACTGTGTCATATACCTACACCGCACAGGCACCCCCACCCAGTCCCACCCCGACCCCTTTTGATGGGAACAGCGAGATCCCGTACTGGGAAGACCCCTCCCGGGGGATGGGGGTGGTGGTGGTTGCTGTACCGATACAGCCAGCGGCACATAGTAGCAGCTACGCTGCTAAGGAAGCAGGCCCCTGCACCTTGGCCAGCTCCGAGGTGACCCACTGCGTAAGGACCGGCTTCATTTCGGCCACAGCTCAGCCGCAACGCACAACCTGCTCTGGGACGCCCCATTCCATGCAGTGGCCTGTGACCGTGGAGACCCGAAAGGCTCCGGAGAGACACCCCCCCCCCCCCCCCATAGGGACTGCCGACCTGCCCCTACCGCCGGCGGAGCCCAGTCCCTTCTGACAGCCCAACGCACGGCCTGCACCCCCGCTGACCCATACACGGCTCGACCGCTGCCACAGGCTCCCCTTCCCTTCCTTCCCGCCCCCGCAGCCGGCCACCTCCGCCGCGGGATCCGCGCACAAGCCACCGCGCCGCTCCCAACCTGCGAGCACACCGCCACTGCCGCCGGCCGCTCCAGGCGGGATTTAAATTTCCCGCGCCCTCGCCCTGCCATTGGCCAGTTCGAGCCATAGCAACCTTCCGATTGGCCGGTTTGAAATGCAGCTCGTCTCGCGGGGAAGGGGAAACGAATCTCCACCGTGCTCCCGGAAGAGCAGACCGGGCGTCACGTATTCAAATACCCGTCCCCCCCCTCGACACTACAACTCCCGGCATTCAACGCGCAGGGACGGTGCAGGCAAAACCCCGGGGCTCCTCGCCGGGAGACGGCGCGTGGCATGCCGGGATTTGTAGTTTCACAGGGGGGGGCGGCTCAACCGGGGAACGAGAGTAGGATGGTCGGCGGGAGGTTTGCACCCCCCCGATGGGGTGAGAAAAGGGAGATTTTTCAGGCTCTGAGCGGTTTGGGGCAGTGACATGCCTTTTCTTTACATACAGCCTAATTTCTACCTCAGTAACCGTCAGGTCACCGCAGGCTTTTCCTGAGACTCCCTGCATTGTCTCCGAGAAACGTGGTGCCCAGGAATTTAAAGAACACCAATTCAACAGCAACCCGGACTGATCAAAATTAAATCGTACTGAATGACAAAAAAAGTATGCCTGCCTTTGTGGCGTGTCCAGCAAATCGACAGATTGGGGATTGTTTCAGATGCGTTTGGCCTATTTGCAAGGGACGGAATACAAAAGCAGACCCTGTTTCACAGGAGATGTAATTCAAACCATAAAACCTGGGGGGAAAAACATGACTCTGCCAGCAATTCAGGCATTTCCACACATATAATGTACAATTCAGGGCAGAGAAGCGTCAGAGACGCACATTGATACATCTGTGTGTTAAACCATTACATTAAACCATTTATACTGAACTGTAGATGCACACAGTAGTTGACAAAGATGTATGCAGAGGAGGAACTACCAGTGACATTTTACATAGCGGTTTTTGGGCCTTACAGTTCCGAGCTTTGTAAAATAAAAACATCACAAGAACATTTAAGCAGGAGTAGGGAAGTCAAGAGAAGAGAAAGCACATCATTCACAAACAGAGATACTGAAAGGGGCTAGTCTGACAGAAAAAGAGCAGCTCAAAAGTAGAAACTGAGGTAAAACACCTGGCGTGCAGAAGGATCGGAGGGCCTGTGCGAAGGAAGTCCGCCAGGTCATGAATTGCCGGGAAGCGTGCCGTCTGGAGCAGCATAACCTGGATGAAGGAGACAAGGAGAGCGCAGGGATGTGTGTTCCAGGGCAGGGAGAGCTCGAGGTGGCCACGTACGAGGTGCTGCAGGCCGACACGGGGTGAACGTGCCATGGGGCGGGAAAGAGGTGTCACGGCTTGAGGGGCTGCTATCAGTATGGGAAAGCCACAGAGGGGTGGAGGGAGGCTGGACAGCCTGGGGGCGAACGACCCCACAGTGGCTAAGCTGGGGCTGAGGTAACGGGGAGAGGGAACAAGGGCCGTGAGGGGAGGAAGCCGCGCGTGGAGCCGATGGGAGGCAGCGGAGCTAACGGCAGCGCGGCTCAGGAGCCAGCGGCAGGAGCGGGAAGGCGGCGTGAAGCCGGACGTGAGGAGACCCGTGAGGGGAAGGGTTTAAAGGCGAGGGTCCCCGGAGAAGGGCGGCTGCGGCTGGAAGCCGATCGCCTGAGGCGGGGACGCGCCTGAGGGACGGAGAGTGGGGGCCGCGCGTGACAGGCCGCGCGCCCGCGTGAGGCGGGAGGGGGGGGACTGAGAGCACGAGCCCACCCCCTGAAGGCAGCGGCAGCCCGGGTTCGCGTGACGTTGGAGGGCGGGGCCTCGAGGCCCGTCGGGGAGGACAGCGCCGGGCCCAATGGTGTGCAAGGAGGGTGGGGCGGGGGGGCGGAGCCCTGGAGGGGAGGGGTAAAGAACGGGAGGGCGGGGCCTGCTGGTCACGAGCAAGGAGAACGTGCAAACTCGCTTAGGGGCGGAGCCAGCGCCGGCCGGGCGGGGCTCTTACTGCGCGGCGCTCGCAGCTTTTGCTGGGTGACCCAGTGGCCTAATGGATAAGGCATCAGCCTCCGGAGCTGGGGATTGTGGGTTCGAGTCCCATCTGGGTCGTACTGTAGACGTTTTGTGGATCCAGCGCGGAGGCTGCCCGGCCATCTGCTGCCGCGCAGCGCAGTACGTTATTATCGCCTACCCGCACCGCTCCCCCCACCTCAAAACACTTTTAGCCGCGCCGCCCGCAGCCGCCGGGGAAGAGCCGAAACGGAGCCAGCAACCCGCTCTGCCGCCGGGACGAGCCCCCGGCGCGGCCTCAAATTCCCCCCGCCGCAACCGCCGCCCTGTCAGCGGGGCGCCCGCCCTGCTCGCCGCCACCACGGCCCTTCCCAGGCGCCACCGAGCCCGGTGCCGCCTCCTCCGTCTCCCTCCTTCCCGCGGGGATCCTGCGCCTCAGCCCCGGGGCCCGTCTCTCTGACAGGAGGACGAGGGCGTGAGGCGGCCGGAGCGGGCGTCGCCTTGGCCGCCGCAGACGTAGCCGTGTGGCGGGTGAGTGTCCCCGGCTGCCTCACAGGAGCGGGCGGTTAGTTGTCCTCCAGGAGCCGCGGGCCTGATCCCGGGGCGGCCGTGAGGGCGGGCTGGCCGGGGAGCGGGGGCCGTCGCCAAGTGTCCCGGCGGGGGGTCGCGTGTCTGGGTCTCGCACCGTGGAGTCCTCCAGAGCCGTTGTGGTAATAAACACGCGAGGGAAGCTCAGGCTGTAGGTGTAACTCCTGCCAGGGCAGCTGTCTGCAGTCTCTGGGGCTAGGACGTGGCCATTGCGCTCTCGCTCCCTGTTTTCCTCAGACCGGGAAAGCTTTTCCCCCCCTCTCCGCTGCTGCTGGCATGCCTGTAGCTTCTTGAACGGTAGAAATACTCCAGACGCTCCGACTGTCCTTCTAATCAAGATCCTGTCCAAGTAAAGAGCCTCATTAATGCGGATACAGTCATACATTAATACAGGTTGAGTTACGCTACCAGCTAATTTAAACAGAAAACTCCCTGGAGCACAGAAGGTCTGCAGGACACTCACGCCTGCATCCATCCACCCATCCTCAGCACAACCCTCAACAGCGCGAGTGAGCCTGTCACGCTCCCGACTTCTCTCCCTTGCTGCGGGTATGCACACTGGTTGAGCGGGAGATGAGGTACAAAAGGAACATATGAGCTCACCTCATCCTTAGTTTAAATTCCTGTTTCTGTAGTAGCTATCTTAGGATACTTTTGGAATTAAAATGTTTAAAATAACAGAGGAAAAATAAAGATAAATAAATGCTGCAGCAGAAACGTAACTCACTAACAGGTGTGTTAAAATTTCATTTATTTTGCATACTATTCTGGCTAATTTTCTGTATCTTCACCCATAGCTGCTTGAGATAAAGCCCTGAACTTTTAAGAATTCTATTAAACTGCTTAATTACGGCACTACAAAACAAACAGTGTTTGAACTAGGCAATAGCTGGACCGCATGACACGGGCATTACTGAGGAGTAGATTTTCTGTTGGGGGGTGGGTTTCAGGAGCTGGGATATAGTGCTTTTATGGGGTTTTTAAGTTGTTCATCACACCTTAAAGTCATGAATGAGTTCACTAACTTTCACAACATCCAGTAGCGGCTAGTGAGATAAACTGTCACAATGGAAATCTTGTCTAGCAATAAGGTCGCCCATTTCAACTGGGAACATAGCAATAAGCCTACTTAATTCATGATGGGCTTTGTGCGTGAAAATTTGCAGAGTTCTTCATGTTAGCAAATACAGATTTAAAAATAAAGCTGTATCTGGGGTCAGCAGAGCTTTACCTTGGACTGGACAGCAACTACTGCATTTTTCAGTCTGAAAAGAATCACTGGAAAGGGTTCCTTAAACTTAAAGAGGAGATTACCAGCTGCATGACTGGAGATGGCCAGAAATACCTAAATATGTTTCATTGTAACACACATCATTTACAGACACTGAATTGCAGAGGTGATGCATGTTCCAGCATCTATCAATTGCACTTTATAATGTAGTTCTCCACATAGAGTAAACCCATGTTTGTTCTGTATGATTTTCTCTACAAAATGCCATAGGAAGCAAGACCTTCCCCCAAAATAAAAATCTGTTGCTAAAAACGTATATCCATATGTTATTCACAGAAACACAGGTGACTGCAGGCAGTATAGACTTGCGTGTATATGGGGAAGGGGGGTGTCCCTGTGCATTCCTCCTAGGCAGGGGTAGTGGGAGGCTAGCGGGGACGGCAGCAGCTTGGTCTTGCTCCAGTGGGTTGTCCAGTGAGTGATTCCTGTTTCCCCTAAGGCTGCCTCTCATTAGCATGAATCGGGGGAAGGGCATAAAAGACTCCAGTTCATTTTGAGTCTGGAAAAACTTTACTTCAAAATGACAACCAAAGTGTTCTGGCTCTTCTGCTTTGTCATTAGATCATCTTCCAGCTCAGTGGCCGGTAAGTCTGTTAACATTCAAAGCGGGGCTGGGGCATATTTGCCTTTGGTATCAGGGGAGGCTAAACACATTAGTACAAATTCTTGCCCGAGCAGCCCTCTTCAGCTGTAGTCTTTTCAGCAAACGGTAGCAGTAATCATATAAGGGTTCAGGAAAGAAACATTTCAACATGTTTGTGGGATGGGAGTGTAAATTGCAATATTTGATTTGTCAGGATTTGAAAGAATTAAGAGCACCTGCCAAAAGCAGGCAGCTAGCTGGTGCCATGTATCCTGCTAGCCATCAGTCAGCAATTGAAGTTTGACTTGCTTCTGCATCTGAGATTTTTTATTTGTATGTGACTTTTCCCTTTTAGTCTCCTTCCTCTCACCTGTAAACTCCAGATTTCTAATTTATTTCAACATGCTCTGTGCTGTCACATGTGTCTGCAGCAAGCTATCCTAAACAGATTTTTTTTTGTTTGGTTTTTTTTTTTAGTACCTCATTGATGGTACAGAAATAAGATATACATCTATTCCATTGGGAAAGAGAAGTCCAGGAGCTGATTATGTTGTATTTCTTAAGTTGCAAGAGCTAGACAGGAATATCCTGGTATAGGGAATGAACCTCAAGGTCCTTAACAGATTAAGCAGAGAAAAATTAACTATTTCTTGTTATGATCCACGACTGAGAAGGCATGATAAACTGGTAGAAAAGTATACTTACAAAACTAAGTCCAAAACACCTGTTCAGAGTTCACAGATTCATATTGAACCATCTCCAAAACACTCTTGCCTATTGCTTTCTTTAGCTTGGACTTCTTCCACCCCTTTCTTCATGGACATTCTTTTGACTTTATGTGTGGCCAGCCCAAATATCAGGGAATCTTTCCCATGACAGCAGCTGGTGAGAGCGAAGGGGGAGAAGTGGCAAGGTCAGCAGTTGAGTCAGTTATAGAAGATAAACCAGGACGTTGTTCATCTGTGTATGTCAAATATCTCTTTTCACATAAGGAGTTAGGATCAGCCTCCTACACGATGCTAACCACAGACAGTGAACACCCAGATGGCGGCTGTGTGTGGGTGAACTGTTTTAAAACTGTGCTGGCTAACTAAAAGCATGCAGTGAAGGACTAAAGTAAAAGGAAAATTAACTGCAAGAAAATTTCTCTCTTCCCAGGCTAAACGGAAGGTCATTTTAATCTGTGAGGTCCAAGTGATCAAGGTGAAGGTATAAATGAAGGCCTCTGTGACTGTCCAGCTTGCGTGAACAATGTCATTAAGCCTTTCCATTTTTCACTAGGTTCCCAGACACTTCCTGTCTTTCTCAACCCTTGTCCTCTCAACTTAAGAAAAGCCTTGAAATAATTGTTACTCAGCAGCAATAGCCTAGCTACCAGACTATGGTATTGCTACTATACAACTCTAGTGTAAAAGTCAGAGACCCAAAACTGTGGATAAAGATCTTTTTAGTAGCATTCAAAGCCCAAAGCCACTGAAGAGTCCAGATGACATTGTCAATGAGGCGTCCTATGGATGGGAAAACCAAATAGTTCTGTTGTCATGGTCTTTTAAACAAGCATCCCAAATGGCAATGTGAACCTTGCTTCCTCAGATGCTCCCTAGAGATTCAGGCTTTTGAGAAGAGGGTTTGTTTATACATGTTTTTAATTTGCAACAATAATAAAGTAAAAATGCAAATCTCCTGTGTTTTGCTCACACAGCTGCATTCTCTGTACTGGGCTTTCTATATCTGAGTAGAGAAGAATGAGGAGCTCTACTATATTTCATCTGTTGAACTACTTATCAGTTACATTGTCTTATTGTTGAAGGCGTCAATAACGGACTAGAGCCGCAAATCTGCCAGGCACTTCCTATTCAAGGAATAAAAAAATTAAAATGCTAATTCGCTCTCTCCTTTTTTTTTTTTTTTTGTATGTAGGATCCCTGCCCTATGCTGAGAAACCCAGTCAGACTGTCAGCAAAGATGCTTATAGTTCAGCAGACGCTGCACCTGGCCAAATCAAACTGCCAGCCTGGGGCACCAGCGGCACCAGAGAGAATCACACAGAACGCTGGCTTCTGCCTCCCACTGACCTGCAGCGGCCAAAACCTCCTGAAATCATCTCCCTCTTGTCAGACAAAAAGAAACGCACCAAACCTTCTCTAGAAAACAGCACAGGGCTGAGGAAATGTCTTTTGCAGTATGGAGGGGCTCTGCCTCTGGAGAGCCCGACTGAAGGGCCTTCTCCTGCCGCCTTTGACTTCAACCACGCAAACAGAAAACACGCGGATAGACGGCTGGCTGAGGCTGCCAACAGCGTGTCAGCTCACTTCCATCACGCAGCATCTTCCTATCAAAAGATGACATCCTTAGTGGAGGCTCATCCTTTTCCAGACTCTAGAGCAGTGGAGTCAGATGATCCTAACACGCTGGACCACTTCAACCGACCAGGCAAGATAATCCCCTATAAACATACTGATCTCTTCAAAAAGATCACCAAACCCTCCTGGGTCACCAACCGCCAGTCATCCAGCTTACTGTACCACTTCAGTGCGCTGAAGAAAGGTAAGGGGATAGGCTGCTCTGGCAAGGGATACCCTGAGCTTTCCAAAGGTTGGGTGGCATAATTTGGATGAAATACCCAAAAGGACCCGTTGCTGTCCCTCAGTCTATGTGCCTGTTCTAGATGCTGATAAGGAGAAGGCATGTCTGACCGAGTGCAGGAAAGAGAGAGACGAAGTGGAGGCCTACTGCGCAAGTGAATTCGGTAAGTTGTGTCCTCTGTGAACCACAGAGACGAAGCAGAGGCTGCTGTTGTTCATCTATTACTGACGTTTCACTTCTGCTTTTAAGATAGCGTTTCACTGAGTATGTTAAGTAATTACCAAGTACACTAAAAGAACCCATTGCAGCTGTTTATAAATGTACAATGATGAACAGTACCAAGTCTTACATTACCCTTTCCCTGCCTTGGGCTAGTATTGCTCTTTTTTCCATTTCCTCTACTTTTCACTCGGAAGAAGAGAGCATTCTTGCTGCTGATCAACGGAACCGAAAAGACCAATTGGTTTAGATACTCTAAGATTAAACATTGTAGCTGTGTTACTTACCTCTTACTATTTAGAGCAAGTTTGTGATTTTGGGGGCTAAAGTTTCAAATGAAAATAAAATGGAAAACCAAACAAAAATAAAACTGTGACCCTCTCTCTATAGAGGATTCTCCTTGATGTTCCTTAGGACTCAATGTCTTTAGTCCTTGTGTCCAAGTTGATGTAGCTAAAGATGGTAGAAAATAGCCTGGCATTTTTGTACTGACTGTTTAAGAGCACGCATTTTCTGACTGAAATCTTGCCTTGCGCTTATGAAGTTGTAAAATAGATATCAACTTTTTCTCACAGTATTTTAAGAGATAAGCGAAATACATGCCTAGTGGTAACAGATGTTTCCATTTGTAGAATATAAACACGTTACAAGACATCTGTTTTCTCTAAATGGAGAAGTCAGGAAGTGCTTTCTACAAATGCTATAGTCTTTATTTTTTATCACTCTCATGCATTCCTGTCAAACGTAGGCCTTATAGCGACCCGACCTTTGTTATTTCAGCCTGTAACAAATAGCGGTCTCATTCATCTCTCAAATTGAAAGAGATGGGTAGGAAAAAGACAGTCTGAGCAACAGATCAGCCAAGGTTCCGTTGCAGTGATCAGAAAGAGGTTTTTGTTTCTTCATGTTTACAGTGCAGATTAAAGAATAAGTGAATGAATCAAAGTTCTCACTCAATGAGGCAGGTGTCACACCAGTTGCAGAAGTCCTATTTGCCTTAACTGCCTAACGCGGTTGTTGTTTTCTGATTCCTGCAGTCAGCTCAGCACTTGTTAAAACCAGAAATTGGGTGGACAGCATGAAGTGATTGTCTGAGTGTACAACACTGCCTACTTGGTGCCCTTGCTGCTTGGTATGACAAGGGCCTTTTCTTTCAAAAGCTGAAGTGTTTCATTAGCAGGTTAGCTTTGTACTTCATTGTGAAGTTTTACATTTGAAAATTTTACTTTGTTAGGTAAATATGTCCACTTTTTCTATGTTGGGATGGAAAACAGTACTAAAACCATCACTTTATTTTGCAACATCTTATAAACTTGACTGAGAAACAGCTCAGACCTGTAAAGCATAAGAAGGTTATTAACTCAGCAAAAACTAAGGTGATGACCTCATCAAATATGATTATTTGAAGGAACCTACTTCCAAGGCTGCCCACTACTGAGCCAAAGAATTTCTGCTGATGCTTACTTTACAGCATTTTAAATGAGAGCCTTCACATATAACCTGAGTTGCCACCAAAATATGTAATCTGATGCTTGCTTTTTTTTTTTTTTTCCCCCTCCCTTAAAACAGCAGTGAATGGAATTGTTTATAACATGGAAAGAGTGGGGAATGGAATCCACTTGATTACGCTTTTGGTAAACAGCGATGGATTATACAAGATGAGTCGCCTGTACATTACTCCTGATGGCTTCTTCTTTCGAGTTCACATTCTAGTTTTGGATACTTTAAACTGCAGTAAACCATGTCCAGACTTTAAACTTGGTAAATAATTCCAGCTAAATCCATTCCACTATTCGTCCTGCATGCAGTGCAATTTTAGTCTGCCCTAGTTTAATAGGCTTATCCTGCATTGTTGTGGTATTTTGAAAAGAAAAAACCCACCCTATTTACTGTTAAACTGGAGGGCTTTTTTCCTCCCAGTTTCTCTAAATTTTCAGAGGAGAAGCAACTGTGTGAAGAAGTCAGGTAGCAGTGTAGTCCTTTCTTAACTTTATCCAGTTCCAAAATGATTGCAAGAGTTTTCAGGTTTGAGGAAAAAAACAAAAACCAGGAGCTTAAGATGATGCCTTTGTAAGTAGTCCAGTTTGCCTTCGAAATGCAAGTTTATCAAACACCAGTATTTCCCCCAAAAAGCTTCTAATTGCAATACAACACAGTAAGTCGTTATTTCCATGCGAGCACAACCCACAAGTCCCACTGAAGCTCAGGGTGCCGCTGTACTAAGCCACACGTTCAGGATATATTTCTGCAGGGTACAACTTCCCATCTGTTCGCAAATCTGTTGCCCGTAGAGCGAGTATAGCGAATGAATCCGTGCTTTCTTCACAGCACAGAAGTCTCGTTTATTTTGCAGGCAGCAGATACATTGTGATGGGTCGGATCTACCACAAGAGACGACAGATCCCTGCAAACCTGCTGCAGTTCCTGCGAGGGCGCCTGAGGCCGGGGGATGGCTTGCTTAGAAGCAGCAGCAGCTACGTGAAGAGATTCAATAGGAAGAGGGATCGCACAGTGCAAGCGGCTCACACTAAATGCAGATAAGGCTCCAGTAACCTCCGTCTAGGATACAGACAGCAGCAGAATTCATCTACCAGAATAAACCCGGCCATGGTTTAGCAACAGCGGGCGGCAGTTTTCCTCACCTCTGAAAGTGGTTGCGATACGACACTTGCTTTTGCGCTTTAGCAAACGCTAACTGAATGTCTTGATGAGGTACAGATATATTGTGAAGTTTAGCACAAAAGTCAGTCCAGGGAATGTTAAATGGTCATGAATTTGCTCCAGCTGTTTTCAGAGCCACAGGTTATTACCGCCTCCCCTGTTGTAAGGTACACCTAATAATCTGTAGTAATTGTAAAGTAAAATTCTGCAGATGTTGTTCTAGGTCCACAAGAAGTAACTGCACTTTCAAACCCTTAACCTTGAATGAATGTTAGATGATACTATAGCTTTATCTATAGAGGACGTCCACCGTCTTTTCACACAATTCTGCCGAAAGTATTACATGCATTTTATTCAAAAGAAACCAACAGAACTACATAGCATTTGTATTGTTTTGGTGTCCTCAAACATGTCCATATGACTTTTAAAAATTACATCATTCTTCAAACAGAGCTGGATTTTCACATGAAGCATACAAAATAGCTACGTAATTATTTTGAGTATTTGAATACACCAGCTGAAAGCAAATCAAGTAACTGCACAACACAAATGCCCAATTAGGCTTACGAATAACAGCGCAAGTTCATGCCAAGGAATGCAAAATGAGCACGCAATTGGATGCACATTTTGTATGCCTGGTTACACTGTCCCTTAAAAGTTCAGTCCTAGAACTGTGTACTAAATGTCATTTTCCCAGGAGAAATATTACCAAGTTTGTACTTGCACATCAGTAAAGTTACTTTTTGAATCAAAAATACAATTTTTTAGTAACTTTAATGTGGTGGGATGCAAGAAGCTATGAAACTGCTGCAAAGGGGATCTTAATGTTTGCTATTCCAAGAGTCAGTATTCACAAATCGTTAAGTCTTTAAAAAAAACTAGTAAAATGTTCATGGGGTTCTGGGTTCACTGTCTCCTGGGTTCTGGAAGATCCAAAAAGCTTATGTAATGATATTAAACAAAGGCATTTCCCTGTTTGACAAGTCAGCTGGGGATTTTAAGATCTATATTTATATTAAAAAAATGGGAAAGTGCCATCTAGCTTAAAAAAACCACCATATATATATACAGTGATATATATGATGTGACATCAAACAGGAAGCAGTGGCTTCTATAAACATTTTGTTTTGAAGCAAAGGCAGTTCTAACACAATTCTACCCGTCATACATGTCTGCAGCTTGATTTAGTGTCACTGAAAAGCTATGGAGTAGTGGATGGGTGATATGTCACGCTGTATGGAGTATTTCTTGATACAGAGAATAGAAGCCAAATACCAAGAGCAAACATCATATATTTTGGGACCCAAAAGGCTGTTACTAATGGACAGAAATATATTTGTAGCTTGTGCCTATCTAAAAAATATACTGTCTCACTTTTGTTACGTGAAAGATTTTGCATGGAGCGCAGCACATATAGATGGAATTTTCCTGAGAGACTTTGAGGGGGCTTTTGATTTGGCAGAATGACTGTTCCTGGCAGTGAATCAAAGCACTGGAGTGTACTGGGAGGGACAGGAGAAGGAAGGAGGAAGGGTTGCATGTGGATCTCAAGTTTCTTTGTTTCTATTTTCAACTGAAGGCCAAGGACTAACCAGCAAATCCTACAGTCATCCATTTGCCCAGAACAGCAATGAAGCACCCTTCCCTGCCCCCAAGACGTTATCGTAATCCAAGACAGGCAAAGTGTGGGTACAAAAATAACATCCACAGCTATATCTCATTTTGATTGTCTCTCAGAAGAGATAAATGATAGTGTACCAGTGCTAATGATATCCAAAGCCCGAGTAAAATGCCAATAACTGACACACAACATCTGCACCACTCTCTGATACAGCTATTACTCTAGAAGCAACCCTGAAGAGCCATTTATTCTGTGTTCTCTTTTTGTGTTACAAAGTCCTCCTACCTCTTCTTTCTCGCTTGAGAGGTTGCTCCTTAAAATGTTATCACAACAGCTGAGCAACAAGCCACTGTATTTCACAGCTTAACTGAAATACAGCTGGAGCAGGAGCCTAATGACCATTCTTACTTTTTACCAGTGTTATCACATGCTAACTAATGTATTGAAAAAAAAAAAAAAATTCCTAGATCAAGTGGATTTCCACAGTCTTGCACTCACTATTACAAAAACCTCACAGCATTAACCACACTGAAAAGAAGATGGCACTTACGTGGAATAGCTGTCATGGTAATTTTGATACATTACAGTAAATCATTCTTTCCCCAGCAGGATAAGCATGAAAATTCTGCAGCCAATACACAGAAATCCAGGTGTACAGGAATACTGTTGTCTTCCTGTCTCTCCAGGGGTTTACGCGAGGCTTTTGGGTAAGCCCAATTTTTTATTCTACTTTAAATCCCCACTAACTTTTGCAGGAACTAAATCTAGGCCAAAGATAATTACTTCAAATTTGTTTGAGGAGACAAAAAGAAAATCAAGCTGGTACAGTGCACATTATCAAAATCTGTGTTACAATATATGACCACTTTGAAACAAACGTTGCAATAATTTATAAAAACACAAAGAGGAGGATGACTGAACAGAGATCACAAGTCTTACGAACTTAACATGCTTTTAAGGAAGGTGGGTATTAATTACGAGTGATGTGTTTTCAGTAACACCATTTAACTATAAAAGATCACCACTAATAAATGGAGAAAAGTACCCTCAATGGCAATTGAAAACACTAAAAAACGCTCTCAGCACAATTAAATTGTAGGTATAGATTATTTCCCTAATCAACCTGATTAACTGGCAGTTGCATATAATCTGGTAATGCCAAGACCTATATATGATAACGTTATCAAATGTTTCATTAGAAACACCACCAAATCAATGTCAAACACATTACTTTATTTGTCTAGGATGATGTGTCCTATAAGGTACAAAAAAGTACTCTTCAGTTTGCCACAATTTGTTAAAAACATAGCAATCTATTGCCTACAGGTAGGAAAGTTTTAAATCATGTCATATATATTTATATATGAATAAATAGTACAGAAATACTGTGAAGTTTTGATGAGATGCAGGATATGTTCAAATGCTGTTAAAAGTTGAGATTTTTTCCTTGTTGTATTAAAAACACAATGCATACAATATGCAGCATTTTTTTTTAAACGTGAAAGGACAACATAACCTAAACGCAACTACTCTTCTTTAACTTTAAGAAGCATAAATGGATTATTGTTTTCACATTGAACAATTATTTTTAATTTTCACATATAGGTTAAATGACAACAGTTGTATGTACAAAAAACCACGGGTTTTTATTAGATAAAATTACCCCAGAAGAACCTGTACACCTGAGCCTGTAAGTGTAAGAAAGTGTGGTCAGTAGCAACATCTTTTTAAGAAAAATAACAGAAGAGGTTCTTGCATAGCAAGGTGTGAAGGTTAAACCCAAAAGGAGCTTATCCATCAATCGGGTAAACCCCGGATCACTGTAGAACAGAAGTTAACTGTGAATTAGTGCAAAAGCTAGTCAAATGGTTGAAGAGCCGCATACAAACCATGGCTGATTAACTACAGACAGGTAATATGAGCAAGTCATTTATATACGCAATGTGAAAGTGATAGATCGCAAAGAAACAGCACTGTCATCTGCAATTTGCATCTTCTTGTGACTTCAATTTATCCCTCGTAGTAGCACTCCTCACACAGGAAACAATGAAGCAGTGCAGAATGCCTTTCAAAGATATCATTACACGTGGTACTTTACATTCCTAGAGTACTTGGCAAAACATCACTTAATTCAGCAATGGGCGGTGACATTTCACAAAATACTTCCTACCACGTTATCTGTTACAGTAATTTTGGCACCACTGTAGAAATTTTATGAAGGGATAACAGCTGCTTAAGGATGAAACGTAGTAAACACTACCTTTGGAGCAAAACGAAGTCAGATCTCCCTGGCCACTTCCCTCCCCTATTACCTGAAATATCTATCGTTCTGAACAGATCCCCAAAGTGTTACAAACATATTAGCGCACACTCAAAGACACCTACATCTGTGGGGAGAACAATTATCTCCATTTATTTTGTTTCATATACATCCATATTTTGAATTTTAATACAAAAGAAAAAAATTAGAATCTGACAAATGTTTACAAACAAGATACCTTCAAATAGATTTTACTCATTTCAGTCTGGTGCAGAGTAAATGACAAATTGTACTGTTATATTCAAGGCAACAGAGTCTGTAGTCCACGACCACTTAGCCCAACTTTTATGCAAGCTTAATTGTTTTTATCTACCATGAATGATAAACTCATTGTTGATTCCCAGTTCTGTGTGTGTGCACATGTGTACATAGCAGCTCCTTTCATAGAAAGAAAAGACATCTAGAGGTCTTCTTGTACTTTTACCTACAGGAATCATGTTAAGATACAGAATGGATTACATGTAACCGGGGCTGGATTTTATAAGAAAAAATAATTAGCTGACAAATGAGGGCAGCAATAAAAAAGCGTCTTTTTTGCAACAATAAATAAATACAGTCAAAGTTTTCTGTGTGGACTTTAAACCAGCTTCTTCACTGAAGAACAGACGTGGCATTTCCATGGAGTTAAACGTGACCCCATTTACTGTATCTTTTTTCTTGCTCTCTTTCTCTCTCTCCTTCAACAAAACAAAGTTTTCCTGCTTCTGCCACAATAGTACAACAATTTGATCTTGACAAGAAAGTGGTGCTGCTGATTTTTATTTCTTTGTCCTTTGGACAAAATAAGCCAAGAATATAATTTGACTGTTGTGACCAATAAAAACGCAGTTTACATCAAGTCTTGTCAGGATAACCTGACTAAAAACATCTGGCTTCTTAATTAAAAATTTTCAGACAACCAGATTCTTGCTCGTGTGTTAGGTTAACACGCTGAACTCTAAGAAGCTGTAGACTGCAGTTTGTTGTTATGGGACCTGCAGAATACAGAAGAAAGTGAAGAATTAAGCACCCTTCATTTTGGAGAACACAGTTGCTGCAAGGTGTTGCCAAGGGTAAATCACAGTGAGGGGATTACCACCATGTTGCTTCCATTTATTTTTTCCCTCTCAGAAAAAAGACCACTTAAAAGAATTCTCTCTGAA